TATATATATATATATATATATTATATATATGCATATAATAGATAATATAATAGATGTATAGATAAGTAAATAAGTGTATAGGGGTATAAGGGTATTAAGTATTGATTATATAGGGTAAATAATATATATAATTAAATATAATAAAAAAAAAAGAAATAAATAAATAAATAAATAAATAAATAAATAAATAAATAAATAAATAAATAAATTAAGGACAAGTATTATATGCAAATTTAATTCTTACTTCTTGCTCACCATGTGCATGTCTGCATGCATTACCTGCCTTACAGAAGCCTGATGCCCAGAAGAGACACAAACTTGTCTTATATAAATCAGATGTTGAACGTAATTCATGTAATGCATGCGCAAATTTACAACGACGAGATGCCCTGTATATATACATATACATATACATATACATATACATATACATATACATATACATATACATATACATATATATATACGTATACCGTATACGTACATATGTATACCCGTATACGTACATATATATATATATACAGATGTTGAACATAATTCATGTAATGCATGCGCAAATTTACACCATCGTTATGCCCTGTATACATACGTATACGTACATATACATATACATATTCATGTACGTACGTACGTTATGTACTCATGTACGTATGAACGTATGTACGTACATACGTACATATTCATATTCATATGCATATGGATATACAATTGTATACATTATAATAAATAATAAACAATTAATTATAACATATAATTTTATACATATATATCATATACACCCACAAACCCTAAACCCTAAACCCTAAACCCTAAACCCTAAACCCTAAACCCTAAACCCTAAACCCTAAACCCCTAGACCATAGCCTTACAGTCTGCATAATCCGCTTCTATACATTTGACACATTCTTGTCTTAAAGAGAGGGTTTGGTGCTGGAACGCCGGGGGGCCCCTGAGACCCGGGGGCCCCCTGACACCTTAGACTGGATCGTGCACGAGATCGAGCCTGCTGCTGCTGCTGCTGCTGTTGTTGTTGCTGCTGTTGCTGCAGTTGCTGTCGATGATGCTGTTGCAGCTGGGCCAGGTGGGAATGCTGCTGCTGTTGCTGCGGCTGTTGCTGCTGCTGTTGCTGCAGCAGCAACAGCTCCTGCTGTTGCCGTTGCTGGTCTGTGGGCAACAGCTCTTCGTCATGCTCCTGTCCCTGCGGCGCCTCCTCTTGCTGCTGTTCCTGCTGCTCCTGTTGCTTTTGCTGCTGCTGCGACTGCTGCTGCTGCTGCTGTTGCTGCTTCTCCTGCAGTGGCCTCTCCTCCTGAAGGAGCGGGGTCTTATTATTGCTGCTTACTTCCTTACTGGGTTCCTTACTGGCTAGGGCCCCTCCCTGTGCTGCTGTCGTTGCAGCAGCAGCAGATGCAGCAGCAGCAGCAGCTGCTGCTGCTGCATCTTCCCTCCGTTGCAGCCTCCCCCCTCTCCTACAGCAAGGTGGGGGCCCCGCACCCTCTTCCCTTACATGCATCCTAGAGGGCCTCCTCACGTCCTCTATGTCTCCGCTGCTGTCCCCTATACACCCCCCTAAACCCTCACTACCGGGCCCCCCCCCACAAGGTAGGGGCCCCAGCAGTACCCTACCTAAACACCTATCAGGCCTGCAGTAAAGGGGGCCCCTACAGGGGGCCCCTGAGGAGACCCTTAAGGAACTAGATCTTCTAAAGAGGCCCCCCCTTAGGGGCCTCCCTTCTACAAAGCCCTGTGAGGGGACCTCTAGGGGCCCCCTCGTAAGTGTCCCCACTAGGGGCCCCCTCACAAGTGTCTCCTCTATGGGCCCTTTACCTGGTGTCTCCTCCAGGGGCCCCTCTACTGGTGTCTCCTTTAGGGGGCCCCTTACAGGTGTCTCCTTTAAGGAGACCTTCGCAAGTGCCTCTCCTAGGGGGCCCCTCACAGGTGTCTCCTTTAGGGGGCCCTTCGTAAGGGTCTCCTTTGGGGGCCCCTTTGCAAGTGCCTCACCTATGGGCCCCTTTGTAAGTGTCCCCTCTGTCTGCACTCCCCCAGGTGTCTCCTTTACGGGCCCCCCTCCAGGTGTTTCTTCTGGGGGCCCCCCTCCAGATGTCCTCCCCTCTTGGGAGACCCCCCCAAGGGTCTCCTTTAGGGTGGCCCCTTCCTGTGTCTCCACCAAGGGGCCCCCCTCAACTGTTTCCTCTATTTGTCCCTGTGTGGGTTGCTCTAGGAAGCCTGGCTGTGTATCATCTGAGGGCCCCCTTGGGGCCCCCTCCCCTGGGGGGCCCCCCGTAGGGGGCCCCTTAGCATGTTCTGCTGCTTCTGACGAGGTGCCCCCTACTTGACGTACCTCATCCTTAATGCTGTTGGTAATAAACATTCCTGCAGCGCATGCAAGGGCCCCAGGGGTCAGAGAGGGCCCAGGAGTCGGGGAAGGGGCCCCCAATGGAGGGGGGCCTGGAAGGGGGACCCCTCCTCCTGCCCAGGGGCCCCAAGGGGCCCCCGCACCTGACCAGGGGGGCCCCGGGACCCCGTGGCCCCCCCCTTCCTGACCAGGTGGTAAAGCGGGTACAATACCCCCTAAGCTGCCTGAGCCATAGGGAAAGAAGGGACAGTACATCATCATCATGAGCTGCTGCTGGTGCTGCTGGTGCTGCTGCTGCTGCTGCAGATGCTGCAGTTGCTGCACCTGCTGCAGCTGATGCTGCATGTTATCACAGTTCCATAGGCCCTGATGTAAAGGGAGACCTAAACCCCTTGGGGGCCCCCCAGGGGCCCCTAACCCTCCCCCTGGATACTGCAGCTGCAGCTGCAACGGCAGCAGCTGTAGCTGCTCCTGTTGATGCTGAAGCAGCTGATGCAGCAGCTGCTGCTGTTGCTGCTGCTGCTGACTGTATTCCTCCTCATCCTCTGTGTCTCCATTATAAGGAAGACAAGGGCAAAAGAATGCCCCTCCGGGGGGACAGAAGGAAATGCTACTATCTATACAAAAGGGGAATGCTGCTGCTGCTGCTGCTGCCGCTGCAGCAGCAGCAGCAGCAGCAGCAGAAGTTGAAGGAGAGCAACTAACTAGCTGCAGGTCCGAAGGAGACACAGGGCGAGGAGACACCCAACTCTTACCATCCGCCTCCTCATCCTCCTGCTGCTCCTGCTGCGCCGGCGGCTCCTGTTGTTGCTGCTGCTCCTGCTGTTCCTGTTGCTGTTGTTGCTGCTGCTGTTGCTGTTGTTGTTGCTCCTGTTGCACCTGCTGCACCTGCTGCTGCTGGTCCTTCTCGTCCTTGTGCTCCTGCTTCTCGTGCTGCTGCTGCTCGTGCTGCAGTTGCTCCTTAACCTGCTTCTCCAATTGGTCTTTCTGCTGCTGCGGCTGCTGCTGCGGCTGCTGCTGCGGCTGCTGTTGCGGCTGCTGCTGCGGCTGCTGCTGCGGCTGCTGCTGTGGCTGCTGCTTCTGCTGCTGCTTCTGCTGCTGCACCCTTTGTTGCTGTTGCTTCTTCTCCTGGTGTCCCTGTTGCCTTTGCTGCAGCTGCAGCTGACCTTGCTTCTTCAATTGCAGCAGCTGCTGCTTCTGCTGTTTCTGCTGCTGCATGCGCTGCTGCCTCAGCCGCTGGGTATGCTGCTCCTCATGCTCTAGCTGCTGCTGCTCTTGCTTCTGCAGCTCTCGCTGCTTTTCCTGTTGCTGCTGCAGCTCTTGCTGCCTTTGCTGCTGTTGCTGCTGCGATCTTTGCGGCTGTTGCTGCTGCGATCTTTGCTGCTGTTGCTGCTGCGGCTTTTGCTGCTGTTGCTGCTGCGGCTTTTGCTGTTTTTGCACCTGCTGCTGCTTTTGCACCTGCTGCTGCTGCTTTTGCAGCAGCAGCAGTTGCGTCTCTTGCTGCTGCTGCTGTTGCTGTTGCTGCTGAGTGCCGCTCCCAGCAGCAATATCTGCACGTTTCTGGTGTGCTGCATGCACCTGCGCAGCAACTGTCTCCTTTTTTGCTGCTAAAGGGACAACATTAGTCCCTGTCTCCTCAGGATTCTTTGCATCCTCTGCTGCTGCTGCTGCTGCTGCTGTTGCTGCTGTTGCTACTGCTGCGCCCTTGCTGTGCAGACCAGTGTCCCCATGACAGTTACTCTGCTGGGGCTGCTTCTGCTGCTGTTCGGGCTGCTGCTGCTGCTGCTGCTCTAGAGGCTGCTTGTGCTGCTGCTGCTGTTCAGGTTGCTGCCGCTGCTGCAGTTCTGGTGGCAGCTGCTGCTGCTGTTTAGGCTGCTGCTGTTCATGTTGTTGTTGCTGCTGGTCAGGCGTCTGCTGCTGCTGCTGCGGCTGCTGCAGTTTTAGCTGTTTCTGCTGCTCTCCAGGCAGCTGCTGCTGCTCTCGTGGCTGCTGCTGCATCTGTTGCTGCAGTTGCTGCTGCTCCTCCTGCAGCTGCTGTTCTTGTTTCTGCCCTTCCTCCTCTTGCTTCTGCTTCAGCTGCTTCTGCTGCAGCTCCTCCTGCTCCTGTTGCAGCTGCTTCTGCTGCAGCTCCTCCTGCTCCTGCTGCAGCTGCTTCTGCTGCTGCTGCTCATGCAGCAGCTGGTGCTGCTGCACCTTGCTTTTGCTGCTAATATGTGTGGTGACTATACAGCCTAAACTCTTCTCCTCCCCTGCGCAGCAGCTATAAATAAATTTAGTACTGCTGCAGTTGCTGCAGTTGCTGCTGCTGCTGCTGCTGCTGCAGTTGGTGCTGCAGTTGCTGCAGCATAGGAAGCCTGGGTGTACATAGCATGCAGGTGCATCTGCTGCTGCTGCAGTCCCTTCTTGTTCTCCATTAGGTAGCTGCGCATACAGCTGAGGATTAAATAAGCAGCAGCAGCGCATGCATTTATCTGGCCACTGCAGCAGCAGCAGCATAAATTCTCTTCTTAATAACTTTTCTCCTGCTGCTGTGCTGCTATTAGGACATCCTGCTGCTGCTGCTGCTGCTGCTGCTGCTAATCTAAATGCTTCCTCCTCTATCTCCCCCTTACGTAGGTAATCTAATATAAATATAAATACATCAGCAGGACAATCTAAACAAAGACGGGGGGCCCCCCACAGGGGCCCCCTCTCTGGTGTCACCTGCTGCTGCTGCTGCTGCTGCTGTTCGTGCTGCTGCAGCTGCTGCTGCAGATAGGGGCACCTACTCACCGTTTTCCTAGTCAAATGAAAGAGACGAGGGCCCACCTGTACCTCCACAAGGACCTGCTGCGGGGGCCCTGCTGCTGCTGCTGCTGTTGCTGCTGTTGCTGCTGCTGCTGCTGCTGCTTCTCGTGCAGCAATGCTCGATACTGCACTGTATGGCAAAGAGATTGTGCTGTTGTTGCTGTAGCTTGTGCTGCTGCTCTTTGATGAGATACTGCTGCTCCTGCTGCTCTTTCTGCTGCTGCTCTTGTTGCTGCCGTTGTTGCTGCTGCTGCTTCTGTTGCTGCTGATATTGCTGCTGCTGCTGCTGCTGTTGCTGTTGCCTTTTGGCTTACCACCTTGAGGCTGTTGTTTTAACTGCAGCAGTTGCTGCTGTTGCTGCTGTTGCTGCTGTTGCTGCTGCTGCAGCTCTTGGCTGCATTGCGAGAGGGTGTGCGCGGTCATCCTGAGGCGCAGTAACAGCAGCAACTGCAGCAGCAATGGCAGCAGCAGCAGCAGCTGCTGCTGAGGTAGCAGCAGCAGCAGGAAGGGAGCGGCAATATAAAAAGGAGACAAAACGGCCTCCAAGGAAACACTCAACAAAAGACATAAAAGACAACCAAAGAAGCAGCAGCAGGAGGAGCAGCAGCTGCAGCTGCGGCAGCAGCAGCAGCTGCGGCAGCAACAGCAACAATGGGGTGTACAGCTAACTGCTGGAAGAAGACACACAAGACAAGGTGTTGCTGTCAAGGTTTTGCTGCTGCTGCTGCTGTTGCTGCTGCTGCTGCTGCAGCAACAGGAAGGAATGAGAAATAACACCCATACAAATACATAAGATATAAATGTCTTATACAGCATCTGCTGCTGCTGCCCCTCCCCTCCACCTGCAGGTGCTTCTGCTGCTGCTGCTGCTGCTGCTGCTGCTGCTGCTGCTGCTTCGGTTGTGTGCTGGGTGTGTGCGTGTGTGTGTGTCTTCCTCGGCCCCACACCTTCTGTCTTATATAAAGAAGGAAACAAAAAATAAATAAATAATAAATAAATATATTTATTATTAATTAAATAATATATTAATAAATAAATAATAATATAAAACCTTACAACAGCAGCAGCACACACCTCCAACCCGATCCCGAGACCTTACTGCAGCAGCAGTAGCAACAGCAGCAGCAGCAGCAGCACCAGGAGGGTATCAGTGGCGGCAGCAGGAGCTGCAGCAGCAGTGTCTGCTGGTGTATTTATGCAATAAATACGTAAAAATGAATAAAAACGAGAATTAAAAAGAATAATAATAAATTAAATAAATAAATAAGGAGAAAAAAGGAAGAAAAGTGGGGGGAAAAACACGGAAAAAAAAGAAGGGTGCTGCGTATACACCTGAAGTCGATGGACACCTGAAGGAGGAGGAAGAGGAGGGGGCAGCGGTTATTATATTCAGGTGTATAGGCAGCTGTTAAGGAGGGAAAAAAGCGATATAATGGATAAAAACAGTAAAACTATATTAAATATATTATTTAGTATTTATTTATTTATTTATTTATTCTTTTATTTTTTTATTTTATGCATATTTACCCCTTTTGCTGCTTTTATGGGTAAGGAAGGCAACCGACCATTGGTGCACCTAAGGAAATAAAGAAACTAAGCAATAAAAGTAAATAATTTAATTAATTAATTAATTAAAATAAATAAATAAATAAATAAATTAATTAATTATTTAATTAAATAAAATAAATATTTAATAAAAGTATATCCTCCTATGCCGTCTATATAAAATAGCAAATAGGTGCCTATACACCTGAATATATATATACACTATATTATGTATTTATTATACATAATAATAATTACATAATTATTTATTTTATTAAACTTTATATAATATAATTAATTATATTTATTTATTTATTTTATATTTATTATTTATTCCTTTTTTTTGTTCTCTTTTATTTTCTTTATTTATTCTTTTTCTTTTTCTTGTTATTTCTTTCCTTCTTTTCTTCTTTAGTATATACACTGCTTTTCTATATATAACTCATACTAGCAGCAGCAGCAGCAGCAGCAAACAGCAGCAGCAGCAGCAGATCTAGCAGCAGCAGCTGCTCTTTGTTTTGCCCTCTTTGTATACTTAAATAAAAGAGGAAAAAAAGTTATCAAATAAATAATAAATAATAATTATTTATTTATTTATTTATTTATTTATAATAAATAAATAAATAATAATTAATAAAATAAAATAAAATAAAATAGACAAAAAGACAAACAAATATATAGACTAAATCTATACACGTACATGCATATATATATGTATATATACATATACATATACATATACATATACATATACATATACATATACATATACATATACATATACATAAATTGTATATATACATAAATTGTATATA